GATGACCGGGCAAGTCACATAACCCAGTCTGAGTGCTAGAGAAACTGCAAGTTGCAGAGAAAGTGCTGAGCTGAATAAGTAGAAAGAGTTTCCTCATTCTGGATGCACCCTATACTAACTGAATCCCATGGAATCCTTATTCTCAGGGCAAGAGACTTCATTCACAAATAACAAGAATTTACCCAAGCTGAAATTTTATGTTGAACTATACAGTGATTTATCTTCATATACAAGAGCATAGATTCTAAACAGTGTCTACATCTACTTATTTAATATACTAATTTGAAATGTACATAGATGTACTCTCAAAATGTATCCATAAAACTTGTTTGACTTTTGAAGGGAAATTGAGGTATACAAGTATCTTTTTAATCATTTATAATTATCTCATTAGTTTTAAAGACTATTATGAAAATATTCCTTAGCTATTCCTTAACAAGAAATATTTAACAATTCATTTTCTCTTGTAAAACAGCTTGCCTGCCATGCAGCTGAGTCACATATGGTACTTAAAGCCACATCTTAAAATAAATGTTCACTATGTAACAGATTTAAAGGTAGCTTCAAAACTAAACATACTGGCTGCCCCAAATCTTTTTATTTTTGTACAGAGGGAGAATGGAGCACAAAACCACATTATGTCATTTCCTCATGTAAATTTTTGTTGATCTATATAGTTCCGCAAAATAATCTTAAATTTTTAATCATAGATCCTTTGTTAGAAAACTAACAAGACAGGCTGAAACATTGAGATAGAACTGCTCTTAGACTTAAGATCATATTTGTTTTCAAAAATTTTTGAAGTATTTTTACATATTACCAATTTTCCCCATATCCCACTGGAATAGATTGATGAATTATAAAACTGTCTTAAGTTAAAACTAGAAACATCATGAATAGCATTGAAATATAACCCAAACCACTTTTTGTCAGCAGTCTAGTGACACAAATTATAAAGCATTGGGTTGGACAGTCCTGTTTGAAAATTATTAACCATATCCTATGCAGTGTGGTATGATGTATGTAGTATCTTAAAATGAACCAAATGCCTTCAGTCATTTTAACTACCCGTACAAGGTAAAAATAACACTGGTTTTGTTTTCTAAACAAGTGGGGAAAAATTGTTACTTCATAGGCATGTGCATTTTATTATTTAGTAGGTGTGTGATAGCTGTCATTAAGATCTGAAACGTAAAGGGTAAGAAAAACCCATAAAAAGTACATTAATTGTATTCAAAAGATCAATGGATTTGTTAATCTCATTAATGTGGGTGCCTCCTTTAGCTATGCATATTCCAACTCATCTGTGTCCTCCCATGAATCTGCTACAGAGGATCTACCCAGCTTGATGGGGGCCTATCTGGTTAAATCTTTCTTTTTTTGTTAAAATAGAGCTGTATTTAAGAAACTATGGAAGAAAAATTTTAGGTCATAAAAACTTTTAAGCATGCTGTATTAATGCCATAATTTATTTTAAAACTATTTGCCTAAAATTCTGCCAAGTCAAAGTGCTTTCACAAAATAAACAGTACCTAACTGGGTAAAAGAAAACAATTTCAGTAAATGGAGGTAGCATAAATGAATGCTGGCTTCATAAGCATGACCTGAGAGATTTGAATCTTGGCCCTATCACTTAATTCAGTGGTCTTGAGCAAGTCACTCAAATGTAAAAGGGAGTTGTGGATTACATGTTCCTCAGTATAATCTTCAGACTAAAATTATTTTAAACAAATAAAGCATTTTTGCTTGATAATTATGCATTTTACCCAAAACAGCAGTTATTTCCAATATGCCTACAATTAATTGCCTGATTTAGATTTAGAACATGAAAATAACATATTGTTAAAACTAAGTACTGTAGTGAAAGCAAATGAACTTTTGTCCCAGATGTGACAACAGTCTTGGTGATGCTGTGGTCAGACTTCCCTAGTGGCTGATTTCTCTGGCTATACCTTTCACAGTGGAACCTCTAGAACAGGCTCTGAAGTTTTTGTCATGGACCCCATTTGGTAGTCTGGTGAAATCTACAGACTGCTTCTCAAAATAATGCTTTTATAGTAATCTTGGTATTGACCATAGCTAAAAGAGACCTACTTACTAAAATTTTATATTTCCAATTCCTAATTTAGATGATGGTGCTTCAGATATGGAGGGGAGGGGAAGGAGATGCTTTTAAAAATTACTTATCAGTCAGGAGACCTCAGCTCAAGTAATAGCTGTACTATTTACTAGCGCTCTGCCTCAATTTCTTCATTTAAAAAATGGGAATAGTTGAGGGTTATTTTTTTAAAGTCTACAAATCTTTAATCAGAGGTTCTTGAGCTTTTTGTATCATAAACCTTTTTTTTTTGCAGTCAAATGAAGCCTTTGAGCCCTTAGAATATTTTAAATGTATAAAACAATATGGGATTATGAAGGAAACCAATTATATTGAAATACTATTTATCAACTTTGTAATATTTATGGGCCCAATTTTAAGAACTTCTGTCTTAAAGCCAGATGTAATTGTGAACCTTATTTCACTTTCCCCTTTAATCCTCATAGATTAAAGAAAAGACTTTCTTAAAAATGCTGCCCATTCCCTGCCTTTTGATTTGAAAGAAGCATAACAAGGATCTTGGCCTCTGTTTCATGAGTTAAGTTACTATCAAAAGGAGGAAGCAACTTTAAACTACAACAATGAAATAGCAATAGAATCCATACACACACACACACACACACACACACACACACACACACACACACACACACACACATATACACATATGTATATACACACATACCCAAGAATAGTTTGGTGTTTGAGTGCATTTTTTTCAAACCCAATAATTGTATCATAATCAGTGCTGTAATACTATGACAGTATCTGAATCTCAGGATCAAATAGTCTAATCTCCCACCTAATGGAAGAATGCTTAAATGTCTAGTAATGGCCCCTTCTTACCTTTTTTGCCTTCTTACACCTCACTTCCCTCCACATATTCTACCATCCGGCTATACTGGTTATAGTGTCCTGACTATATTTTCACTGACTTATTCACACCTGGAATTCTCTTTCTCACCTGGCTTTGCTGGCCTCCTCCTAGATTTAGCTCTATCTCAACTTCTGCAGGGGGCCTTTGCCAGTCCCTCTGACTACTGCTAGTGCCTTAGTGCCTTGTCTGAGATCTTTCTTTTATATTGCATGTATCTTTTATGTATATAGTTTTACATGCATGTTACCTCTGTTGGAATGTGAACTACTAGAGGCAGGGAATGGAATGTGAACTACTAGAGGCAGGGAATGGTTGTGTATGTGTGTGTATTGTTGACTGAAAGGAACTCAACTTACAAGGCAACCTATCTGACACCATTATGTAAAGTTTTCTCTCAGTATATTGAGGAGTCATAACTTGCCTCCTCATAATGTAAGGCAGCAGAGGAAAGAACATATCCCACTTTGATCATACATGTATGAGCCTGTGTAAGTCATTTCACATCCCAGTGATTGTTTCCTTACCTGTAAAATGAGGGGGTTAGACCAGCTGGCCTTGGAGGTCCTTTCTCTAGCTGATGCTAATGTTTTCTGAAGCAGTGAAGATATATAGTCTTTCCTTCCTAATGGCCCTTTAAATATTTATAGATAATCTATCTTATTCAAGAAAATCCAAGTTCGGATCCAGCCTTGAAACACTAGCTATGAAACCCTGGGCAAGTCACTTAACCTCTGGCTGCCTCAGTATCCTTACCTGTAACATAATAGCACCTACCTTCCGGGTTGTCGTGAGGAACAAAGGTGATTAAGTGGAAGCATTTAGCATAGTACTTGATACATAGTAAGCTCTCTATAAATGGTAGCTATTGTTAGGCTTGACATTTCTAGTTCCTTCAAATGTTCATGATTTCCTAGAGCCATCACCATTATGGTCATCCTCCTCTGCCGGCTTGTTTTAGCAAATGTGAATGCTGAAGTGAATTTTTGGAATTTGCAATAATTGTGAATGTCGTCTGACCAATAATACAATAGGACCATTTAATCCTGAAATCTGAGCTTGAGAATCAAAACCTTAGGGAAAAGAGCCTTTGAAGGATATCAATGAAACAAATAAATGCTTGTCCAAAGGGCCCCAGGGAAACTGAATATTTGGAATAAAGGGAGATCAGGGAAACTGTGAGTAAATTAAACCTATTTTCATACTGAAAAAATTGTCCCTGAACCCTTTTAAAATTTTGTATTCAGTATTCTAGAGGGAAAAATATTGCTAGTATCCAAGTGTTATCTCCCTAGTCATATATTACATTATACCTGTGCTCCATGGAACAGTGGTCTCCAATCTCTTCATTTTCTTTTTTTTCCCCCCAACCTCTTCATTTTCAAGATGAAGAAATAAGAATAAGAAATAAGCTGAAAGGGTTTAACTTGACCAAGATCATACAGATTGATGACAAAACCAGAACTAAAGTCTAGGTCAGGGGTGGGGAACCTGCAGCCTCATGGCCACATGTGACCCTCTAGGTCCTCAAGTGCAGCCCTTTGACTGAATACAAACCTCACAGAACAAATCCCCTTAATAAAAGGATTTGTTCTGTAAAACTTGGGACTTGGTCAAAAGGCTGAACTCAAGGACCCAGAAGGCCACATGTGGCCTGGAGGCCGCAGGTTCCCCACCCCTGACTGGGTCTTCCAAATCCCAGCCCACTGTTCCTTTTCACTGGACCAGGCTCCTTCTCCTATACTTATATTTACAGTTTAACATTGAGTTTTTTTATTAGTTTCATTATATTTGGCTTGTACTGAGCTCCTGATCTACTCAAATTCCTATGGTTTCTGCCCCCCTTCTTTCCAAAACTGTTGTCAAACCAGGTCCTCCCTTCCCCCCCCCCCCCCCACCCCATTAAGTTAACTGATTTCTGAACCTAATGGTGAGACTTACATTTATCCTATGAACTATCACCATCTTGGTTTCTGCTCAACCTATCAAGATAAATGTTCATTTTAAACCTATTATCTGTTCTGTTAGCTATACCTTCCAGCTTTGAGTCACTGGGACATTTGGTAAGCAAGCCTTGGGTGCCTTCATCTAAAGTACTAAGCAAGGCAAGGCCAAGGACAGAGTCTTGTGGCATGCTTCTAGAGATCTCCCTCCAGGATGACATCTACCCTGTAACAACAACACTCTTGGTATGTGTGATCTGATTCTGTGAAGCTTGTTTTATTGGCACCTGTTTATACAGGTCCCCCTGATGTATAAAAGAACCATGGATAATTAGGTGGAGTAAATGTAGTTCTGCCTTGTATAATCCCAGTAATGTTGGTGCTACTAAGCAAATAAGGAATATTTAAAAGCCTGTCCTGCTTTATGGTGTTATGTTCAACTGCCAAACTTAGATTTGAGGATGGGGCAAAGAGGGAAGTACAAGGACCTTAAAGGAAGAGGGACTTAGTGTTTTATAGCACGACAGAGGAGAATGGGGGGGGGGGAAACACCAAGCTTTAGGGTTTCTTTAAAATGCAGAGAAAAAAAATTAAAATTATTACCCAAGTCATGAAATTATTATTTTTATTTTGTCTACATAATGGGGTTAAGTGACTTGCTCAGGGTCACACAGCTACTTAAGTGTCAAGTGTCTGAGGCCAGATTTGAACTCTGGTCCTCCTGACTCCAGGGCCGGTGCTCTATTCACTGCACCACCTAGCTGCCCCAGTAAATTAAAGTACAAATATTTCATTCATTTCATTCTTAAATAGAATTTTCAGGGACAGAAGACAAGGGGTAAAAGCATTCAGCATTGTATGTTCTACTTAAAGGTATCCTAAGTAATAATTTTAAAAGAAAAGAATAATCTTTAGTTTTACCATGCCATGGAGAATTAGTTTTACAATGACAATCCTGAAAATAGTTTGATAAATGCAATAAACAAAGGCATTTACATGGTACTAATTTTAAGTTCAAAGGAGTTAACTTTTGTAGTTAGAATTTTTTAGGAAAAAAATCTAACTAGATTTAGAATCAAATTGTTTTTAATACAGTCATGTCTTTTAAAACTAAAGACATTTAACAGGATTAAACCTAATAATGATGTGACATATAGTAATTAAAATCAACTTTGATGCATTTGCTGCCACAGATACATGCTTACTCAAATGCTGTCTCTAAACAAGGAATGTAATAACAATTACAGACTTTCGTCAGTTTAAAAAAAAAACAAAAACATAACCTGAATTTTCTGTTGAGGCTAGTATTCTCTTTTGAACTTTGTATATTCTAAAATTTTAGCTGCTTTTAAGTCTTTGATTTTTGAAAGAAGAACCCCCCCCCCCCAAAGATTCTATTACATTAGAAAACTGTGTAAGAAAATATGCATATGGTGGTAAGGTAAGTTAGAGAAAATATTTTTTTTTCTGACAGCACTGATGCTTTATACTGAGTGTCCCAAAAGTCTTAGTGTGGTTTTAAACTTTAAAAGCTTAAACGTAAAACTGCACTGACTTTAGACACTGTATATGTTGGTCCCTATTAAATTTTAAAAAAAATTGTACTATCAAAAATAAGACTTAAGGTCAAATTTTTTCAGTAGGGGTTGGAAAGTTGTGGCTTCTGAAAGTTCTATTTTGTATTGAGAAAAACAAAGATCTTATATTGCCCTGTGTGTCCCATCTGGTTTGGGTGCCATGTAGAAATTATATTTTTAAATGAATTAAATATATTCTGTGTAAATGTAGTCTTGATTTTTAAAAAGTAGTTGTCTAGGATTGTACTACATTTGTCATAAAGTATTGGGGCCTATGAAGATTATTTGCATCATAGGGTGAAGTTTAAGTTAAATTTTGGTATGAAGGTGCTTTGGTTTAAAAAAAGATAAATAATTTGATACATATACATATATATTATGTTAATTTTCTCATCTCAAGATACATACAGAAATGTTGTAGTTAATTTACTATAAGTGGTACATAAACACAGCAATGTTATTATTGTCTAATTTCAAAACATTTGATAGATGACAAACTGTTTTCCAACATAGAAAAATAGTTTAAAACCTAGAATTAAAAAAATAAACTCACATTGCTTTTCTGTCTTTTTCTTGCTTTGGTAATTTTAGTCTTCAAGCACTTAAAAATACATCTTTAGATGGAAAAGAACTCACAAAAGGATAAATTGTGAAATTGCACAGTGAAATGAAAGAATTAATTTTCTCATGATTTTGTTTGGGCTTCTCAGAACATGTGAATAAACCTCTTATCTATGAATAACCATGATATTTTAAAGTGGCAAAATATCAGCTTGAAAGTAAATTGTGACTAAAGATATTTAAAGGAAACTATTTTGGTAAACCCCTAAGAGTATTCAGGGTATTTGTCAAATGCTACAATAATCCATATTTTTCCATGTTTTACATTTTATTCTTCTGGTTATACTAAGACTTTATTTTTGACCTACATGTGAAATGGTATATGATTTCATTAAATTGTCAGCAGTTAAAAGACTTCCTTTTAAGTCCCTTAACCACTGGATAGCATGGTATTTTAAAAACTTCAACAGGTATTCTTTTTCTCCATTTTTCATTGCTAAAGAAATGACTTCACAATCTCAAATCAAAGTCCACACTGCAGTGAGGAGAGCTTTTCTACTTTATTACAAAGAGAAGAAGCCTTTATGTGGTCAGAAAATACAAGATTGATCTTTTTTTTTCTCTTCCTATGAAACGCTGCTGTTCAAACAGCCAGAGTGAATTGTCTCAGTTCACTTCTTTAAGTCCCATCACATTCACTTGGGTATGGATGTCCTTGGCTGCTGAAAATCTGGCCCTTTAGTGCACAGGGCGACAAAGGAGTCCCCTGACCAGCAGTTCCAGAATGTCCCGTTTTCATATATTGCATCCATGCACACCTCCTAAAAATGAGGTACAGCAGGGCAAACATTTTCCAAAATAGATGTCATATATATAATATATACACATTCGTACATACATACCTTTATTCATGTGATGTCCAAAAATTTAAAAAAAATGTACACATTTATTACAAAATCGTAACAAAGACTGGACAGTGTTTTGCTCATTCTGGAAAGATGAAGCTCAGTAATAACACAACCCTAGAAACCATCCAGAGGTTGTGGCCATATCGTTCTTCTAAACAGTCAGATATTCTTGCATTTAAGCTTGGCGAAAAACTGCCTTTCAAAAACAGAAGGGAGAAGTAAAATGAAGGAAGCAGACCTTGCTCATCTTTCCAAATGAAATACGAGAAGGATCTTCACATAAAAATGCACAAACATTTTTTTTTATTACCAATAGTGCTACAATGAACAATGCAAATTTTGTTGTCTAATTTTTTGGGGTTTTTTGCTTTTTTTTTCCTGGGTTTTTTTTCCTTTTTTACATTTTGGAAACTATGTGGTAAACTTTGTCAGTGTACTTTTTTGTCATTACAGATCAATGTCTGCTGTCCAAAAAAAATGGAAAAATTCAGACCCTGCTCAAACTAGAGAAAAACAATTACAAATTTAGTTGTTGGGCAGCACATAATTAGTAAGGCAGGACCTCAAATGGTGACCCTTTGCATGAGCCAACTGCCAGATCCTCAAGGAATTAAAACCAGGGTGCCTGAGCCACATCAGTTCTGCAGTTATGTCGAGTATTGTGCTGAGACAGCCATACCCCAAGAAAAGGGAAGTCTTTAGAAGGCTTGCTGAGCAGGGTTGTAGTTGAAGGATGATGGCAGATGAGGCCTTTCTTCTAATTTGTCATATTCCAGAAGGAACTCCTATAATAGAAAAAAATTAAATGTTTAGAAGATTTTATTACAAAGTCCTCTTGATTGCATCTTTCTTTCTTTCTTTCTTTCTTTCTTTCTTTCTTTGGCCAAAACTGCACTTCTGGCTATCCACAGAAATATACACCTATACTCAGATACCATTTCTTTTCTGCGTAAAGTGCTGCACTGCAGAGAGGTCAGGCATACAGTACATGATGAATAAAGGACAAACAATATGAATATAGGCCTTTCAATTGGGAAAAATATGTTGCTCTATAGTATACTTATGAAAAGACTTATTTCTTTGTTTCAATAGGGAAGCATCCAAAATGTAACTGACCATTACTTAAATATTACTAGCCCCACACATGAAAAAGTAGTTTAAAATTCAGAGCATTACAATGACAATACAGAAGAGTTTACTTGCTTGTCAAAATGCTGCATGTTTAAATTACTACAAGCTTTAAAGGGGATATTAAATGATGCCTTTCAAAGTATGGGAACAGTCCCACCTCTTCAATTTCCTTTAAATCTAGACCTTTAAAAATCAAGCTTAAAAATATATCCCAACCCATTAAGGCTTGTGGGAAACCATGAAATCTCCCCTATCTCCAGACTTCCCAATTTGTAAACCACATGCCCTGAAAAGAAAAGACATGATGGTCTGTACAAGTTTTAGGAAGCTCACTATCAAATGTGGATTATGTTAAAACAAAAACAAAACATTCCAAAATGGAAATTTATTTTCAATTCTCAAAAACTATACTACCACTTTTCATAATTTCAAGATTAAAGAATATGGCCAAGCATTAAAGCCTGTTTTAATTATGCAGGAAAAAATTAGGAATTCTGTTGTTTGAATTTAGGTAATTTATATTGACCTATTATTAAACTGCATGAAAGTTTTAACAATTAGGGACATTTAAGGTTTTTCTTAGTGGTGTCAAAAAAATGAAGCCACCTCCACAATAAATGCCTTATTACCAGGAAGTGACTGAAGAAAACCTGACTTAGGGTATCTTTCTTACCTTAGAGATCTGCTTTTGATTGGACTCTCCCAATACCTTAAAAGTTTTCATTATTTGTGAAATCAAAATGAAAATTCAAGACATCATAACTATAAACGTTCACAGTTATAGTTTAAATGTTCCTTTAGGCAGTTACCAAAATTAAACCGCTAAACTGTTTTCCAGTTTGCTGACAAATGTTTAAAAACAAGTTTTACTGTGGTAAATTTCATCAGAAAATTTATATCCATATTCTTGTTAGGGTAGCTAAGACACAGAGACACTATTTGCTTAAGAGTGAACACTAGAAACAGTAGAATAATTTGTGTTATATTCATCTCCCTAAAAGCTGAGAGAACTTTAAAATTAGTTTGTTATATATTTTAAATATGAGTTTGGTTAGCTAAATTTGTGTTGGAATAAATAAGTCAGTTCAGTTTTTCCATTCTCAAGGAAGATCTGTTTAAAACTCAGTGTGCATGAAACCTATATGAGATTCTGAAATTTTAAGTCGAACTCATCTTGCATATATACATCTTTAATTATGTTATTTATAAGGAGATTCTTTAAGTTCAATTTCCCTAAATATCTTTAGTTTTCACCTTTTTAGTTCTGGATCAAAGCACCTAACAGGGAAAAGATCTAAAAGGTTTGTTTTTCATGATCATGAGTATTCTTGAAAACAGGCCACAAGTTTAAGAACTTAGAAAGGATGGGGGGGGAGACAGTGGGAGGAGGTTCTGCATTTCACTTCTTATAGTTGTTAGGCCTATATTCTCTTAATTTTCTCATTAATAACTGAGTAATTACAAGATCGTTACCATCAGAAAGGCTTTTTATTGAATTATACGCAGGAATAACTTTAAGGAATGTTATCTCAAGCCATCCTCAGTTGTAAAAATCCTATAAGGAGGGTTAGTAGGTTTAGTGACATTGCAATAAAATAATACATATTTAAACAAAGTAGCATAACAAAGGAGATAAACTGGTACCAGTGAATTAGTAAGTCACATCAATAGGAAACACTACCATAAGCTTATTAAAAAGAGGTATGAAAATACGAGCTTCAAATAATCAACTGCTTGAGCGTTTTGAAAAACCTGATTTTCAAATAATTTTCCCTTGTGACAAATTATTTTTAACTTATATGATATGGGTCATATATCCTGTTTGAATCATCACAAAATTTAGAAATATTGGAATCTTAAAAGTATTAATCTGTATAAAAACTCAAGTTTCTTAGAGTGTGTAGAACAAGGACTTGATAATAAAAGTTTCTCCAGATGGATAAACTCATCACACTTTACTCAAAAATGCATTTGTGCAGATGTCAGGCCCAGCCCTAAAAGAAACAGAGCTCTTAAGATATGGAGATTAGTACCCACCAACCCTATCACTTTACACAGCCTAGAGTAAGAATTTGTCCATTGTAAGAGAGAATGTCCTGTCCAGTGTAACTCCTTGTTAAATTATAAAGCAGGAATATTAACACTTTTTCATTAAACATCTTAGTAACAGAGGAAGGGGAAAAGCATTTATTAAGCACCTACTACGTGCTAGACACTGTGCAAATATCCCATTTGATCCTCCATTTAGTAACAACTTCCAAGGAGTTCAGAATATTTTAGGTAAGTTCTCCTTGATAACTATGATAGTAATGCCCTCAACTTCACAGACAGAAGCTGACTCGCTTGATTTGACAGCATTTCTAATTTCCTAGGTAAGAGTATGGTGGCCTGTGATTACTGGATACTAAAGTCTTCTAGTTCCTAAGGCATTTTCTCTGAGAATGCCTCATTTCTTTTAAACATTAACAGAAGTAACAAGAAAAGTCCAATTGTTGGTTATGTCTTGATGTTTAAATTTATATAGTTCTGGGATGCATATTTTAATATGAACAAATGAAGTCCACTGTTAATCTAATGCAAAGTAAAAGCAAATGATCGTAATCTTAAAAGAATTATGTTGCACATTCCTAATGCAACTACTTTACAAAAGATTTCCGAAGAAATGGACAAAACTATACTTCTCATGATTCTTTCTTTTACTCTATTACACGGCTCAAGTTTCAGAAAGGAAATGCAAAGTGAAGGAAATAAGTTCTTAGAATTATAGGATCACATGGTTAAGAGGCCCTTGGAAATCATCAAATCCAATCCTTGCCAAAGCATGACTCCCCTTCTCCAAGATCCCCTTTTCAGTGTTTGGGAGCTCAGTACTTCCCCCCCCACCCCAAAAGTAAGATCTTTCCCTCAGATCTGCACCCAAATTTCCTTCAAGGCCAAGCAAGATAAGTCCAATACCTTTTCCATATGTTAAAACATGGAAAAAAAGAATTGAGATAAGCTAAAGAAAAACAACGGAAACCTTTTTCTTAAAAGTGTTTACCTGACAGAAGAATTTCTTCTACAGGAGAATGAAATCCCAATTTTAGGCTAAAGTTGATATGGACAACTGAAATAAAGATAATTGAAGCCAATTTCCAACCCTACTCCCAAATAATTATATGCTTATCTAAGAAGAAAAATGTTCTTTAGCCTAAACTGCACAATTACCTACCTTTTCTAGTTCACTTATTAATAACACCTCAATTTTATTTTTATATAACAACTTTACTTTCAAGAAAGGTATATGTAACATAAGTACTCAAAAATGCTTCAAAAATGGCAAGAAAAAACAGTGGAGAGAGAAGCTCTGTATCTGGTATTTTGCTAGTAAATGATGTAATTTTATGTTCAACATTTTAAAAATTGGCATTGTGTATTTTAAAGCTGTCAATAATCATTCTTCTGATATGAAAATATGGTTCAGTGGTGTTTGAACAGGAAAATGAAAACTCATGGTAGAAATGGTAATTCATATGACTGTAGTAAAAAAGACTGTCTAAAACCTCAAAATAAGAATTATATAGCTGAATACCACTTTATATTTGTAGAGTACTTGAGTTTTTAAAGCACTTTAACATAAACTGTCTTGAGAATGAGCTGTTATTTAAAAAATAAAAAGACGACTTTTGTTTCACATTTGTTGTTATTTTATTTGTGGGAGTGACCCTGCTTTTCCAAAATGAATGGCTATGGTTGAGATAATTTATTAATTATATTTTCATCCCTAATTACTATTGACATTTTAGTTCTTTTTCCCCCCATTTCTTTTATACAGCCTTAAGGAAAGCTGAAAAGTGAGCAATATTTTTACTACAAGTTTTTCTTAGCAAAAACAACTGCATGGCAATGCAGATAATGAAACTACAGTCATACCATATTATTTTTAAATGTTCTTGTGCTTCTGTTAGATTAGTAATGTTGATTAAAGAAAATGAAAGAACAATACTCTTGATGCCACTGTATTCAGAAAACTTGGTATGTTCTCCCCAAATCAGTCCAAAATGCCAAGTCTCCATTGTTTTTACATTTACATCCAAACTGACTCTATTCATTAAATTTCTTTATGTCAATATGCAGCATTCTTTTTTTCAATAAGTCTAGAAGCAATCACAATGTATAATCAATTTATTTTTGTTATTTAGGGTGAGTGGGAAGAAAATTCTTTTTGAAATAAATGAAAACTACTTGCTATTTACTTTTTCTTTAATTCAACTACTAAGTATTAGCTAAAATGTGAATTTACTGTGTCTATCCTACACATTCCCTCATAAATGTTTCCTGGAGTTTTACATAACACAAAAGAAAGGTACCTACATTCACTATGGGGTCAATTAGATGCACTATAAACACTTTATTAGATAACCTCTTACTCATCCTGTGTGAATTTGGTAATACAATCAGTAGCAAACATTACAATATGGTGATAGCATAGAATAATAAAGAATGCACCTGCAAATTGTAAAAATGTAACAAAGAAACTGGTATGATGTAATACATTCTAAGAGAATCAAAAAACCACATAGATGAAACAATTTTGTGGGGGAAATCACATTAAATACCCATAGAAAAGTTGGGCAACTAGTCCCATCTGGGATACAGACACAAGTATGAACAATTGATTGTGAATAGTTCTACCCTGGCTACACTAAAGGAACATCCATAAAAAATTAAAGGATCACTTACTTGTAGGTTCTTCTTTTGAATTTATCTTCCTAATTTCAAGGCAAATAGTTCTCATAAAACACAGTACATGGAAATATCTTCAATTTTTGCTTCATGACAGAGTTATTCTATTCTGATCTTAATGCAAATGCATTATGTGTTATAAGTAATAAGATGATACTTCACCTCCGATATTAAGAGAAACATATCCTGAGACTCAGGGTTCAAAAAACAAAATTTCTAAACCCTCAGAATTATCAATAGAGTACGCATTCAGGAAAATGCTGAACTTTGGGTGGCAGTATATATTCTCTAGCCTTTCATATGATCCTGGATACAAGAGTATAGCATTGAAAGCAAGACAGTTTTGAAGTTGAGACAAGAAGATGATGTAGTATCTGGGTCAGTAAGTACCTTCCTGTAGATTTTATTAGGAAAAGCCATAGTGATGTGTGTTGTTTATTTTGTTTTGAGAAATCATATGCCCATTTCTCCAACATGCTGGGTTTTACCTATAGTTCACGCTTCTGGATTAATCTAATTTCCTTTTTCAAAACAGTTGTCAAACAAAAACTGAAAACAACTTTCACTGGAATAAGTAAAATGATGTGTAAAAATATATGTATATATTTTAATTAAATCTCATTTGGTTAAGTAATAATATAAGAATACATGACTTTGGGATTGCAAGAGGGTATCTTTATTTTACAATTCAGTAGTCACAAATATATATATATAATATATATATATATATATATATATATATATATATATATATATATATACACATTTCAAATGTTACCAGGGCTTGTGCAAAATTACAAAATCTCTTTACCACGCTCAATCATTTTCCTAACTATTGATGAAATAAATTGTTTCAGGACCCCCTCCTGGAGTCTAAAATCAAGTCACACAAGGAAGTGGAGACAAAAGATTTGCTAAATATCTGGCACATTACTGGAATGGATGTATTGGTACATATACATAAACAGATAAACAAGGAGGTTTAATAAAACAGTTTAGATTTATACATTTACACATTTGCACAAGGAAAAAAATATACCTTAGCTACTTTCCTCCAGTTAAGACAGTCAAAGAAGTAATATGTTCCCCTCTCGTATGTATTGGTTTTCATTGCTGGCTCCATGCCTGGTGCCCTGGTAATCCATACTCGTTCTTCTTTGTGATATCTCCAATCTCGGTTAAAACTTTTAAAAAGAAAAAGAAAATTATTTTTTCCTGTTATTAATTTTCAACACATTTTATTTAAATATGTAAATTCTTTTAGAACTTTTCTAAGAAAAGCATTAGCTTACAAACATGAATGAAAATGCATAATCAAATTTGTTTCACCTAATCATCTTGCTTTATTAATTAAACCCTTTTTGTATTATGTATAAAAAAAATTTCTTAGTATTTTTTGTCAGTAAATTTTTTTTTACTGAATTGTAGATCCCCTTCATGTACCTTTTATTGCTAATGAAAATGAGAAAAAACACAAAAAATATAAGGAAAAAATTTGAAGATAAACTAAATACTTGCCAGATAATTTAGGAAATAATTTTTTTCTCTTACCCAATTATATTTTTGATTATCAATTTAAATGTAATATCGATAGTATGACATTAGTAACTAGTTCTTGGTGTTTGTCTTTATTGACTACTATACACAAAACACTGTGCCAGGCACTGGTGATGCAAAAATAAAAAAATGAAAATAATCCCTGTCCTCAAGGGGCTTATTATTTTCTACATGCACTTATATAAGTAGACACAAAATAAATACATTTTTTCAGGGGGAGGCCCTTAAAAGCAGCTAGGGGAATAAGGAAAGGCCTTATGCAAAAAGTGATGATATAATATATGCATTACAGCTACAGAAAGGCACAGAAAGAGAAGATGATGTGCTGTGTGTGAGAAGGAGGAGGAGGAGCACAATGGTTACTTAGCTGAACCATGGAGTATGGGAAGGGAAGTAATGTAATAAAGAGGCTGGAAAGGTAGGTTGAGGCCATGTTGTAAAGAGCTTTAAACAAAGGAGAAGAGTTTAGTAATAGGAAAGAAACTAGTTTGAGGAGTGAAATGACATCATCAGATCTATGCTACAGGAATTAATCAACACTGGAGTGGAGAAAGGAGAGATTTGAAACAAGCTGCTGAAATAACCTGCAGACAAGTGATAAGGACCCGAACTAACTAGGGTAGTGATTAGGTTAAGAAAGATGCCAAGAGATATTTGGATAGATTTTCTCAGTAACTGATTATATCAACTATGTCTAAATATAATACATATTTTATGACTGTGCAATTGACTATATAAAATTATAAAAACAGAATGGCTAAAAAGGTCCACTGATGACAGTTATTAGACAAGTTAATTAATTTTCATTTGTGATATATGACTGAACCTAAATTGGCATAAGTTAAAGGATAAATTAATTTGACCCTATAGAATTCATTTGAGAACTTAAAATGCAATAACTTTCAACAAAACAAAAAAAATTTCACAAAACATTAAAATGGGCATTTTTTTGGGAATCAATATATTTTTACTAAAGAATTTGCTTTTAGGAAATAAAATAGAGTAAGTAGGATTTATTTAGATCTCACTACAGAAAACAGAAAGCAAAGAAGTAATAATGGAGAAAAGTTGTAACATAAGATCTACTGTTTAGGAAAAATGACAAGGAAATAGTAAGAAGCTTTTTATATTATTCAAAAAATCTGAGGACAGGAAGAAGAACTTGCTTTCTTAGGAAATCAGTGGGGAAAGTGTAAACATTCCTCAGCTCACACAGCAAATGCTAAAGTAATTTATCACCAAAAACAATTTCACTTCCCTTGGAAAAAGTTGTTTATAAAGACCTTTACAAGAAATTGACACTTCTAAATCTAATTGTCTCTTTTTAGTATTTAAGGGCAAAATGCTAATACAGTTAACATCGAAGTCCAGTAATAACATAAAGTACAACCAACTAGGAGAAAAAAAACACTAAGAACTTTTCTTAGGTAGATATAAAAATATTGGGCAAATACCATAAATTGTTCCAGGAAAAAAATGGCCGAATTTTTTTACACTAGCTACTATTCAATATGGCCAAGAGAATGCTATGGATGAGAATGACCTATAGTTTAAAAAATCCGATCCTTTCATACACGTTAAAGCCTTAGTCACTTACCTTTTACTTTTGATGTATATTTAAGACTTTTGTTTTCACTGTACTTTAAACAATCTATTGTTCACTCACTTTTCTTGACTTTTACTACATAACCACTAAATTGCTCAAAATGCAATGAAAGCAAAAGTCTTAAAGATAAAACAAAATAAAATGACATACTGTAAAAAGCTTGAGAAGACATGAACTTAAAAATATGGGTGGGTAGACATGAACTACAGCAGAACCAATGGAATCAAAAGATTTGGTCAATTTGATTGACTGCCAGTAATTTACATAGCTTCAGAAGCAACAGAAGAACTTTCCTTTGCACTGGGCAGGCCCAACAGAAAGTAAGGACCTAATGGATCCTTATTGACCTCTTTACACTCATCTTAGTGAAATACATTAAGTGGATCCACTTAAATCTTTTGGTCAAACTGATTCTCTAGCAAATGGTTGAGTTATACATTATGCTGATTTCAATCTGAAGTTCAGGCTGCAGGCCATTTTACAAGTAAAGCTTTATAATTCACAACAATATAGTAGTATGCCATTATTCACATAATTTAAATATAACTTATTTGGTATTTTAATGATAAAGTACAACCACTGAACTGTATACTTTGGGGGAATTTATTATTTCTTTTAAAAAATAAATTAGCCATCATTATTTAAAGTACTGTACAACTCCTCTATGATACAAAAGTGATCAAATATTTTGAACATACAGTTCTACTGCTGCTAAAAGCTGTAATACGTCTCCTCCGTTCATGTAATAGAGATAGAATAGTAGATCTTCTCCATATCGGCCCAGTTTTATTGCAGCCAGCTACAAAAGAAGAATATTCAAATAAAAAATCAAGCATATAAAACAAGTATAAGAATGGTAATATAAAATACACCATTTTAAAAATGAGAACACAGACTTTTTTTTTAAATTTTGCAGCATGTTATAAGCAGATCACAAAGAGCTACAATTCTAAAACAATTGTTTGGCTTACTAGGATTACGCATCTCTCCCCCCCCAAACTAGGATTACGCATACCTCCCCGCCAGAACAAATACTTATATTTTGCCTGACCAACTGATATAATAGTTTTCAATTTTTTTTTTGCAATGTTAGAATACTTCACTTAAAATTTTGCACCCATGAAGTAAAATCTTTAAGACTTTAAGAAAATTTCCTATTACTACTGGAACCAAATAATGAAGCAAATTTTATTTATTTATTGGCGGGGAAGGGGGGGCAGGTGAAGGATGGGAGGGAAGAGGAAGAAAGGAGGATCAGAATTATAATTTTGTTCAAGTAGCAAATGCCCAGAGTGAAAATTCTCTCATTGCTATAGCTCAGCAACAATTTTGTACCCTACCATCTTCATGAGTTGACTGGGCTACTAATAGGTTTTGATGTCCCCACCGTTAAACAGTTAGCATGTGTCAGAATCAGGATTTGAACCCAGTACTTCCTGACACAGAGGCTGGATTTGTATTCACTTAACCACATTGCCTTCTCAATTTAAAACACACAAAATAACATACTTTTGATTCAGCTTTATTTAAAATATAGTAATATTATAAACAACTTACTCAGCAGGATATGGATATTTGCTATACCTTGTATAGGAATACCAGATGTGATGGCTAACCTTGTAAGACATGTCACAACCCCCCACCCCTTTCTTTTTTACACAAACCAGTATTGGGAACAATTTTTTTAGTTTGGAACTAAAAATTTCAATTCTGTTTTTAAATGTTCTGTATTGTGCTATAAATACTGCTGTAATTTTGCTAGATCTGTTTTTGTTTTAATTTTGGTATGTAACCCCAAGAGAGAGATAGCTGTTACCATATTTTCAGATTGTTTTCTTTGGGAGACCCCAAAACTAGACAAGTTTGCTGTTTACTGCATCTGGCATTTTTTTTCATTATGAAACTTTTTTCATCTTTTTCATTATGGAATCTTGTAGCCTGTTTCATGGAATACCAGAGTTCCACAAAATTCAAGTTATGAAAAGTTGTAACAGGAAGAAAGAGTTTCAGGTTCCAAACCAATGAAAGATGATGCAGTATCTCCACCATTAGAGAGCTACAGTCAGTCTAACTTTCCATATCAAAAGACCTTATATGTATATGAAAATTTTTTTTTCTGGATCCAAAATCTAGGCAATTACTAATCTGGTCCCTGCAAAGTCTGGTGAAAATATGTTTATCTTTTCATGTCCCAATGTCATACTTTCCTATTCAGGTTTAGGAAGCAGTCTTCAAACAGTCCTATGTTTTTCCTACTGGAGTTTCTCATTCCTTATAGAAAATCACAGTCTAGTCAATAAAAAATACTTAATAAGCCCTACTACATGCAGAGAATTGTGCCAAGTAGGGTGATATAGAGAAAGGAAAAAAAAAACACCAGATGCTGCTCTAAAGGAGCTCACATATGGGAAACAACAAGCAAACAACTATGTAAAAGATAAACTAGAAATGATCAATAGAGGGAAGGCACTATAATTAAGGGGGTTTTGGAAAGATGTCCGTCCTGTAGAGGAAGGATTTTAGCTGAGAGTGGAAGGAAATCAGAACATTTAAGAGATGGAGGGAGAGAATTTTAGGCATGGGAGACAGCCAGTGAACATGAGAGTGAGGGAATAAGACTGGACTAGTTCAGGAAGGGGCCACGTTCTAAATGGCCAAACAAAAGATTTTATATGTGATCCTGGAGGTGACAGGGAATGACTAGCATTCACTTACTAGAGGATGATGTGGTCAGAAAAGCAATTTGATAGCTGAGAGGACAGACTAGAGTGGGTAAAAGACTTGAAGTAGGAAGACCAATCAAAAGACTAGTCCAGGTGTGAGGTGATGAAGGATTGCTACAAGGTGATGGCAGTGCCAGGAGACAGAAAGGAACATACAGAAAAAGAGACATTACACAGTGAAGACTGATGAGATTTGGTACCAGTTTGGATATACAGAGTTGAGAGTGAGAAATCAAGGATGACATCTAGATTATTAGCCTGGGGGACTGGGAGGATGGTGCTGCCCCAGACAGTAATGGGAAAGTTGGAAGGAGGGAGAAGAGAGGAAGGAATGAGTTCATTTCGTGATATGTTGAGGCACAGAGTTCCAGGTGTCCAGAAGCAGCTGGAGATTCAAGCTAGAGGTCTAGCAGTGAGGTTAGGTCTGGATACGGAGATTAGCATAGAGATGATAACTGAATCCATAAGAATTGATAAGGTCACCAAGTGAAACAGAATAGAGGGAAAAGAAGAGAATCCAAGACAAAGGCCTTTGGAGGACAACCATGGTAACGAAGCATGACACAGATGAGGATCAAGCAAAGGAGACCAAGAAGAAGTGGTCAAACAGCTAGGGGGAGAACCAGAAGAGAGCAGTGTTGTCAAGAAAACCACAAGAAAAGAGAATATCATTGAGGGTGATTGACAATGTCAAAGGCTACACAGAGGTCAAGAAGGATAAGGGCTGAGAAAAGGCCATTAGATTTGGCAACTAAGAAATCACTGGTAACTCTGGAGAGAAGTTTTAATTTAACGAAGAGGGTGGAAACTAGACTGCAGATTTAAGAAGAGAGTGAGAGGAAAGAAAATGGAACCACTATAGAAGGTCTTCCCAAGTAATTTAATCACAAAAGGGAGGAAAGCTATGACAACAGATTGTGGGAATGAATGGTTAAAGTGAAAATATTTTGAGGATGAGGAAGATAGGGGTTTCTTTGTAGGCAGCAGGGATGACAGAGGAAATAATCTGCTAGAAAATATGGGATAGAAATGGGATGCATGTAAAGGGTTTGCCTTGGCAACAAGGGTTACCTCTTCACTTGAGACAAGGGTGAAGTTGAGATGGTGTTGGAAGGCAGCTGAGTGTTTTGAGATGAGAACAACAAGAAGAAGGGGATAAGAGGGAGCTCCCAACAAACAGTCTCTTTTTTTTTCAGTGAAATATGAGGCAAGGTTGTCAGATGGGAGGGTAAGGAAAGGGGAGAAGGGATTAATCAGAGAAGTGTAAAAAAGCATGGGCCTTGACATAGTGAGGGCCCAGTTGAAAATGAGTAACTCAAATTTGTGGTACACCCAGTCAGCATGGTTTTGTGATTTCTCTCCAGCTTTGTTCAGTAGCATGTAACTAGGAGGAAAAGTGGTGGGAACAATCCAAGGCTGAGGCAGGGCAGGGCAAGATCAGCCATAGGATAAGGGATAGAGAGAATGGAGAACAGAGGACGGTTTTGAGTTGAACTGGTTCACTAAGGAGTCAAAATGGAGAACGGAGGAGAATATAGCCAGTGCAGGGGTGATGGCCTGGGAAAAAAACTGAGGGGCCTAGGCATTGGGGGTTACAGTGGGAATGAATAACAGGGTTTGGGGTTGTAAGGAAGAGGGAGAGGTGTAGTGAGAACAAATTGTGATCAGAGAAGGCAATTTCATGAACATGAAAGTGGAACACTTTGTAGATAATGGCAAGATAAGGGAATTACTTTCTCTGTGTATAGCTGAGGTGGGGTAGAGGAATAAGTTTAGGGAAGTAAAGTTGAACTAAGAGATTAAGGATACTGAAGACTCCTACTATAAGAGCAGAAGTGAGTAGAGGAAAGATAAGACAGAGTGTCTGGCACTGAACTGACTGAGGAAAGAAGAGTGTACTGAAGACCAGAATCTTGACCCAGTGGTAAATATAGACTGAATGAACCTTAAAGGAGAAGTTACTGAATGACGATGGTAGGAGAACCTAGAAGTGACAATGGGGAGTAATGAGTATTCCTACTCTCCTACTTGCCCAGCAAAACATGGAATATGAGTAAAAGTGCAACCAATGCTGAAAAGATGAATATGAAAGCTGTGTCATCAGGAGGGAGCCAGATCTCAGTGAATGCATGAAGACAGAAGGAGAAAGGAAAAGATTTAAATAAAAGCAGCCTTATTTCCTAAGGAGCAAAAATTCCACAGAACATAGTAGAAGCGGTGGGTAGCTTGTTGGGGGTGTAGGGGATAAGGAAGGGGAGTGTTTAGTTGAGGATGATGGGAATAAAGGAGCAGTCATGGTAGGACTGAAACTAAGTTTGAATATTGACAGCTGGGGGTTCAGAAATCAATGGGATAGGAAGGGTATGATGGGGTATGAATCTGTTAATCACTATGGAATGAGTTCATTATCTCAGGGGTTCAGGGGGAACTAACAACACCAGCCTAGGGACAGGCTCAGGTGAGATAAATGGTTGAGACTGAGACAGAAGGATGGACAGGATACTGGGAGAGAGTGCAATGGGATGGCTGTACCAGAAATGCTAGGGTTTAGAATGCTCCTCTCCTTTTCTAGCAGGTGACTGAGAGGTTAAGAGTTCCTCTGAAAGCATGTAAGAGGCATTGTTAAAAGTGGTGGGTTTTAAAGTCAGAGAACCAGAGTTTAACTCTCAGCTCTACCACAGTAGGTTTCTACCTATATGATTTTGGGCAAAGTACTTCACCCCCTTTGTTCCCTTATGTTCCTAATCTGCAAATGAAAATGCTGGACCACATGACTTATGAGGTCCCTTTCAGCTCTAGATCTGTGTGGAGAATGTCAACAAACTACAGTGTGGATGAAAGAGAATGAATTTGCTGGATTAGTGATAAAGGGTGGAAAAATGACATGCACCATCTGTTTGGAAGCAACTCTTTTGCCTAGTAATCAAAGGCTCTTTCAATCTGGTGCCATCTTACCTTCCCAGCCTTGTCTCATTTCTACTCTCTAAACTTGTACCCCCATCATTCTCCCACCTTTGCTCAAATTCCTTCTAAGCCTTAAGACCTTACCTCACCCCTCTGCCTATTTAATTCCTCCCTATCCTTTAAAATCCAACTCGAATACCATAAAATGTAACTGACTCCACGGTTCATGACTCGCCCAAACACTCTTAGATTTTGCTTTGTGCCTCTAATTATTTATGTTATCAAGTAAAATTCTACATTCTAATTATCTCTATTTATGTTTATTCCCATCCTAGCCTGTTTACTCCATGAGGGCAATGTACAAATATCACCTACAAATCAAGAACTCAATTATTTGTTGAAAGAATTAGTTTGAAAACTAGGATCAGTTTCTTTGTCAGTTCATGATTTTAGTACGTTTGACTTAATTATCTTTCACAAAATTATAGAGTTTTGAAATCTTTTTAAAATAAGTTCTCAACAGCTGACACATTTGTTCCCGCTTAAATGCCTATCACTTAGTTTCAAAGAACTTCCCTGACTTTATATATTCTTCCATTGTTATAAAATTGGACATAGTGCTTTTTACTGACCTCCTCCTCCCTGTATTTCTGCTTATGTTGGTTAAAAGGGGTTAACTCAATTTTATATTCTATTACTGAATTTTAAAATACTATTTCTCTTCTTAGATAGAAATAGATTAGAGCTCCTATCTGTTAATACTTGTTTTATAACTAGACTTAGGAGAAAACATCATACAATGAAAACAGAAGAAAATGTATTTCACAACTGAATTTTTAAGCATATGAAATCCATTAACAGAGGTAGTAGAAGTAGAAGATAAGAATTTTGGCGTTAAGGTTAGAAAGTCCTGGGTTCAAAACCTATCTCTAGCATTTTTACTTTGGGCAAGTCATTTACCCTCTATATGCATGAGATAATTCCCCTACAATTTATTTATTTACTAAATAATAGTTGGGATAGTGGTAGTAGAGGGAGTTTCCATACCACACTGAGGAAGACAAAGACCCTTCATGTATTCACAAGACATTCATTTAAAGCCATAATATATAAAAGTCACTTTAAAAAACAATTGTTCACTTTCAAGAACCAGAGCATATAATATTGGAAAAAACCCTGTAAATCAAAGAGGCAAAGACTGCTACATTTGTATACATCATGGGCAAAGGTCCTGCCTGTATGCTGTTACTGACTGCTCTGGAAAGCAAAATATTATCTACAAATAATACTGGGTCACCAAGAAACCATCTGGATGTGAGGGGGAAAAAAGGAACATGAGGAGATTAAATAGAATTTTACAAAATTAAAAAGACACATAGTTTTGCAAATTAAAGGCAGCTAAGTATTTTTGAGATGTAGCATTAAACTGTAAGAAATGTTTTACTTGTCAGATAATTAAACTTATGTTGATTAAGGAGAAGAAAAGCATACTCACCTTATCTCTAATGTGAATGTTCGTTAAGTACTCAGATGGAACGTGGAAGTCTATATAATAAAAAAGGGGGGGTGCTGATTACCTACTTATCTACAGATATTGGGGGTAAAATTGAGGGGACAAGTTTTAATGTGAATAGATTCCCCTACCTATGTCTTGAGGTCGACAAGGTGAAGATGCCCAGGGTGATGCAAATTTGGGATATAGATTTCTGAACAGGAAAACAAAAATTACTATGAAGTCAGTAAAATTTTCCTCAAAAAAAATTTAAAAATTATATATATATATATATATATATATCACAAAGGATTTAATAATACTATAATGTCAAATTTTGGGAAAAAAGATACTACACAATAATTATTTATCAAAGGCTCTTAATATCTTTGGCACTAAGTTCTACTGTTGGAATCTGGCGGATCTGAATTTATGAATAAAATCAAGATACAAGCTTCCTCTAATTGTTGACTGATGGAATAAATAGCAGAAGCAAAAATTAATAAATTAAAAGATCAGAACAACATAAAGGGATATTTTTCCTTTTATATATTAACCCTAGAAATGTAATAAACACAAAATAGCCCCTGAAGGTATATGTCAAATTTGAAATTTTCTACTTTTATTTTTTTACTCAAAGGGGGTGGAGGGAGAAGAGGAAATTATATAACAATTTCCAAATGGAGCTTAATGTCTGTATTTGCCTACTTTTATAATCAAAGCAATTTTCCACCTTTTGTGGGGTACATTCATTGGTATTCGTTCAGGCATTATGACCCCTCTTCTACTTTTAGCATGTTTCTCTAAGCATTTTGCCAAACTAAATATGGGACAACTAATATCTTAATTAATTTTATTATAAAAGGACTAATATGGTAGAATAGCATAAATTCTCACAGTTTGGTTAACAAAAGCAATGTTAGATTTTTATATAAAATGCTATTAATTTTTAAAAGTCAATTTAAAACAGTAATTATCTAGTAGAAGTACAGATCCCATATTGTTAAATTAATACTTTTGGATTACGAATAGGACCCCAAATTAAAATACTTAAAGGACTGATGGATTAAGCAGTTATCTGGGCATTTGATAAGGAGCCATTTGGTAGAGGCATTTCAGCTTAAAAAAAGAGTATTTTCTAAAAGTTTGTAAAAAGATCTAGAATGTTCATATATTAAAGAAAAACAAATAAGCAAATCTTATTTGAAAGGACAGTTATAAAGCTACTGTAATGCCCACAGGGAATACTACAAATTGCTAGTCTGATGGAAAGCTTACAATGCTAGCTATTCCAATGACTTTCTTCAAAATGTATGGGGCTATTTTTACCAAAAAGAAAATTTTAATTACACTGACAGTACATTTCAATGCCTAACTTACAAGATAGCTTTACTTTTTTTTTTTAAACTAACACATAGCCAAAATGAATCTACTATTATGAAAAGCAACACAGCTATTTTAAAATGATTTTGTTTACTGAGAAAACAGACTTACTCAGGAGAGTTGAGATTGAGGCCTAGTGTTGTTAAGTCACTTCCTAATGCAAGATGTACCATTCCTGGGTCTGTCTCTGCTGCTCTAATAAATGTCAGCAGGCCAATCATTCCAAATTGGTCCGTCACCATCCCTTGAGGAATGTTAGTAACCCGACCTAGATAAGAACACCACACAGACTTTATTTTTAAGGAAAAGAAGTGACGAAAATACGTAAAAAATTCTGTTAAATTGTCTCTTATATAGGCCCACCATCAGGTAACACCTGGATCCCTTTTTTCTGCTGGTTGTTGTTTTGTGTTGTTGAACTTTTGTCTCCAGGGAATTTAGGTCCATCTGTACTTGAAGATGTCTTACCAGATGTATTCAAATTCTAAAACAAGACAGAATTTTCAAAAGTGAATGTGAAGTCTGCTATCTAAGAAAACTCTCTAAGTCATATATTTAACACAACTTAAATATATCTGTGAATCACATTTAAGTTAGTGGCAAATTAATATCTTTTTCATAAGGTACAGCATTCTATTCCATCTTTGAAAACCTCTAGTTCTTAACCTTTTATGTCATGAACCCCTTGAACAATTTAGTGAAGCCTTCTGGATCCCTTTTGGGGACTTTTGAAATGCACAAACTAAACTATATCGGATTACAAAGTTATCAAAATATTTTTAAAACAACAACAATAATTCATGGACTCTGTGAAATCTATTGATGGACACTATGTTAAAATCCTTACTCTAAAGTCTCCACAGTACTCCATGAAATATTAGAATAAATTTAAAATAATTAAGGTTTTTTTTTTTAATTCAAAGTCCATAATTAACAGTCACATTTCCCTGTATAGTTAAGAAGCTAAAAAAACTACGTGGATAGCTTCATGTTTGGGAGAAATTTAAAGACGATTTTACAAAAGTTCTCCATTAGAAAAAAAGATTTACCTAACATAGTTCCATAAACAATCACTACTACTGCTTAGAATATGTGATTTCTTAAGTTGTTCTTAATCTCCTTATGTTTTCAACTGTGATAATAAACATTATTTTTCAGTGAAAGAGATACTTCATAAAGTGTGAACAAAGTAGACATGTTGGGTAAATCAGAAATAGGAAGCCTATTTGCTTGAATCAACACAGTAACAAAAATGGTAGAAAGAGCCCTCAACGAGAAAATTCATTCCAGAAAAATCTAGCTTCTTAAAAGGATGCAATATTTCAAACATTAAAGGCTCCAGGTGACAAGGACTACAATAAAATTCTAACCTAACTCTGAGAACCTCAACAGCAACTTACAAACTGATAGAAATAGAGAATGATAATGTCTTCTGATAAATTGTTTTCTACATTACTAAGAATTTACCTATTACAAGTTTTCTTAAGAGCAGCAGTTTTATAATAATATATATACACAGACATATATGCATAGACATTTATTTATATAATATATGATAACCTCAAAATGCCAAATAAAGTTAGAAAAGAATAACCATTTACAAAAAAAAAAATTAAAAAATGATTTACAGTTACTTACAGATTTACTGTCCTCGTTACTCGTTGTTGGATCTTTATAGCTGGAGCCTGGCAATGCTGGAAAATCTTCGTTGTGTATTGAAAAGTCCTGGGATTGCTCACTTGCTGGTTTTGTTACCATTCCAACTACATAATGAAAACAGAGAATTACAGATGTTTAAAAAAAATCCTTATGACCAACATTTTGCTTTATATTATTAAAATTTAACATTCTTATGCTAATGAAATGGATTATATATGTATATTTAAAAATATCTGTGCTTTTAAAAATAAGGTATGACTATGTATTTCTTTATAAATATTTAGAATCCTGCTACAAAAATGTTTTATTTTAATGTTGGCCTATCTCTTAATATCTTTCTCTATAAAAGAATACAAGGGAGGTCAGTGGTAGCACTGTAGCACTAAACTAGTGCTATGTTACAGGTGCTTAATATTATCTGACATCAGCAATAGTAGCAGTAATTCTTTTATTTAAAAAAAACTTGCTTTCTTTAAAATGTTAACTAGATAATATACACACTAGTTAGCTTTCAAACACAAATGCATAAAGTAATTTTAAAAAGAACATGCCAATATTCTACTTGAAAATGACTTACAGGGTGGGAAAATTGCAATCAATTATATAACAACTCCACATTATTTCAGATTTCCTTTGGACTCCATGTTCTAGATGTATAACATGCAAGAACTGGGAAGTAATCCTCCCACTATACTTGGCATTGGTCAGGCCCTTAATAGAGTACAGTGTCCAGTTTGGGGCTCCACAATTCAAGTAGGATATGGAGAAACTGGAGATGGTCCAAGGAGAACAACGGAAATGATTAAAGGGATGAAAAATTGGACCTATGAGGAAAGGTTAAAGGCATTAGAGTCTGAATTAAAATTTAGATAGCTAGGTACTCAACTTCCTGGGCAGATCAATTTTCCTTACTTATGGAACACTGTTTTGTATACTTCCTATTATGAAAAAAGATAATTTTTTGTTTCATGATCTGGAGGCCCTTGAAATCTTTCTTGGTTAGAAATCTTGATGGATTTTGCTGTAGGGTAGGAGCCTATCCTTTTAAGTAAGTTTTCTCCACTCATGCCCTACATCAGACTATTTCCAAGGGTGTAAATTTTCCAAGCATACAAAAGAACTCACACCACACATGCATTATCATCACCTGCCTATCAGTTCTATGTAGATTAACTACATATTATGTTATTGGACGTTTCGATTTAACTCTTCGGTTTTGTCATTCTGTAATTTTTCTCTGCACTCAGGGGTTATAGGAGATCTGAACTCTACCTAGGTTACACTGGTAGCTCCCACCAGTTCAATCCAAAAAATATTTATTAACTGCACATGTAGCACACTGCTAGTTGTATGGCCTTTGGCAAGTCACTTAACCTCTTCTGGACCTCCCTTTTCTTGTCTGGGGAAAGAGGAGAGGATCAGATTGATTACATCAGATGTTTTCTAAGGTCTATTCCAGCTGAGACTCTTATGTTTCTAATCTACGCAGACTACAAAATAGCTTCCTGCACCAGGAGAATGATTTTCAGACAATCAATTATTCTCTTTCTGCAGCCAAAGCTCACACATGACAGTCCATCTCCATTCTCCCTTCCTTTCTTTCTCCCTCCATCACAGAGAACCCCTTTAAGAAGAAGTTCAAGTACCACCTTCTCCACAAAGCCTTTCCTAATTTCCCCCATTTTCTTGCTCTTCCCCTCCCAAACTGCCTTGTGTTTAGTTTACTATAGATTATATTTATACACAAGACACTTCTTACTTCCCTCATCACAAACACATTTCAAGTAGGAATGGTTTCACTTTTTCATCTGTATCACTGGCACCTAGCACAGTGTCTGGCCATTAGCAAGCACTTATTAACAAATGGTTATTGATTGATTAATATTGAATATCTTCTCTCAGAAAATACTTCAACTATGTGTGTAAGACAGAGCAAAGAGAAGACAGAATCAGAGGTAATTAAAGGCAACCGAGGACTCAAGAAAACGGTGTCTACATAGCTCATTAGGGAGTTCCTGCTGGGTGTCTATACCTCACTGACTATATCTTCGCATTTATGGTTTTTCCCTGCCCCAGATATCAAAATTCTGAAGCAAATATAATCAATGAGGTATCTTTAAAAAGCATTTTGAATACATCAACTTTCTATATTCATATTCTAATCAACTGAAATACACTCACTGAAATTTCTTTTGATTTGCCAATTTAATGCTCCTCCCCCACCCCTCCCAAGCTTACCATAAGGAGCTCTTCCAGCTAAGGGGTTTATTAATGGAGTTGGGTTACCACTTCCTTCCCTTCTGTTTCGATCTGCTAGTGCTGGAAAATCTGAAAGGTCCAATCCTGTCACATTTTCACTTCCATCTAAACAATAACAAAATACATATGTTATAAATCTTTGCACTTGTATAAAATCTCATGATTTTAAGTAACTTAAATAATAAAAACCCAAATAGCAATATTATGTTGCATAGACATTTGAAACACTGTACTAGCCTTCATCATTACCCACCTAAGCACAATGCTGGATAAAGAAGATGTTTTGTGCTTACAAAATAGGTGCAGTTTGATTTCACATCTTTAGGTGTTAACAAAATACCACTTAAAAGAAAAAATAAAAGGTTAGCTAACACAAAACATTTTGAACTATGACAAATTCCTAAACTCTGAAGTACTGAACACATAATAAAGAGTATTTAGAAAATATTCTAAAAGTGTAATTTTTAGGTAATGACAGAATTATGGGAAATTTAGGTACCACTATGAATAACTCCTAAAATATATTACGCCAATTGTTACTGAGTTGTATATGTTGATAAAGTACATTCAAGCATAAAACAATATATTTCCCAACTTAATAAAACTTTAGAACCAGGCAGGGTTTGAAGTTATTATTTACACTACTCTAAATGGACAATTTGTCTGAAAACTGGATCAAAGTAAAAACTAGATTATTTTCTACTTAGATTTAAAATGGACACTTTAAGGGTGATGCTATAGACAAACACTCTTAATCAGTTGAACTGACAAAGCTCACTTTTCTTTTAAAGTGACAATGTCTTAAATTCATAACTATGAAAAACAACAACAAAGTAATAAAAATTCAGGAGGACTAAAAAAGGGGAATGCAGTATGGATGATATAGACTTCATCTGTTCTCTGTTATTTCAGAACTTGGAGGATCTATGACCATGGGTGTGCATAATCGTTTTAACAAAGCAGATCACAACCCTGCTACACATACAATTTCAGATAATTACTATACATGAAAATTTTCATCACCTTATCATCGCCCTAGAGAGAGATCGCTCTCAGAAGTTAAGAAATATTTTGTACTACAGCTTGACCTTCTTATTTTTTCCCAGGCCTTTAACTGATTTGATCTGTTCAGGGCACTCTGTGTGTAGAAACTCTTTACACAACGACAAGAATCATCAACTCCTCCATCCTTTGAACATCAGCCCTCTATTCATTATACCATGATGAAGCCTCTCTTTAAAAAGCTTAATTTAGGTAATTTTTCAAAACTGAGATACAAAAAAATCACAGTAAGCCAAATCTCTTTATTAGTTAGCAACTGACCAAAAAAAAAACCAACCCCAAAACCCTATCATTTTAGTTATACATCATTTTCTTAGCATAAAATGTACCAGACTCAGTTCAAATGAAGGTTTAAAATTTATCCCAAAATTATACAGTACTTTACATTGTCATAGAATTCTGGTATATTATAAACTACATAAAACTGCAATATATAATATAAAAATAAATCCCAAAACATATTTCAATAATATTTTTACTCATCAAAGAATTGTACTATTCTCTCATTTAAAAAAACTTTTAATTATTCTTGTATAAAGTATTTGCTAAAAGTTTCAGAATTCTATAAAGACTTAACTCATTCTACCTCTTCTTGTTCATGCTAAAACCACCTCATCTCTGCTTCTAAGTCTATCTCACCCACTATTTTCTTACCTTGCTCTTATTTCAATTTATTTCAACCTTAACTTGAATTTTTTCTCCTTCCTTTTCTTTTTTTGTTCCTATGTTCTCAGGGATCAACTCAACACTGAGGTTCTTGCCTTTCCCTTCTATGAGAGGCAAACTGGAGTCAGTGTGTATCCTGTCACTAAACAGTCTATTACACAGTAAAGGATTTGGTTAAAATCAGACACAAATGATTTTTAATGTAATCCAATTTTATTTTTCTTTCAATAACTGTAGCAAAGATTTGGCTCATGAAAACTTAAATTTCAAAAATTATACATGTGATCAAGTGTCCATATTTTGTAAATTTCCTATAGCTTTTTAAAGACTGTTTTTCCATATTCAATGGTGGGGAAAACAGCTTCTGAAAGGCAATGGCTTCTCATATGGATGAGATCTTTAAGTGTGCTGATAATATGGACAGCTAAAAGCTGCCCATGTACTAGTATAATTTATGCTTTATAAAATGTTCAATATTTGTAAGCAGATAGCAAACATAACGCACACACTATGTAGCTAAATAGCATCTCTCTCTGCCACTAAATAATTGGTAACATCAAAACATTGTTAAGCCCATTCACAACATTAAAAATATTGTGTATCAAGATAAACAACCCAAATGACTTTATGCTTCAATAATGTAGAGTATTTTTTTCTAGGCTACTGTTTATGAAAGAAGCTTACCTGTTCCATTAAAAATGTTACTTGATAGAGAATTATTCATTCCAAATGCCTGATTCCTGTTCATTCCAAATCCAGACATACTAGGTACACAGAAAATAGTTTTAGATATAATGTAAGAAGACTAACTTTCAGCTGAGGAAAAAAAAAATAAGTGTATACTCTTGATTTCCTTGGATCAGATTACATCACCTTTGGAAACTGATATTAATCTTATTTTACTAAATTCAATTTTTATTCTGCTTTAACTTGCCTGACCTGTTGTAACCAATTGGATGAAAAACCAGGTTTGGTTTTTTTCTTAAATATTTTAATGAACAAAATAAACATAAGAATGAAAAGAATTTATACTTACCTAGAAGATAACAATGTTATAACCAAAATATCATTTAGTGAACAGAAAGAGGCCAATTACTATCCTGACAGAATAAACTAAATATACAGCTCAGTAGTTTTACTCTAAGATTAATTGATTTGTACTGGTTTTCTATGGCTGTATTTTGCTGTGCTATACAGAATATTATCATCAATGAATTAAAAGTCTATCACAATATATCACTTCATTTATAATAACACTGAATCTCCCAAGCTAAATTGTAAATTCCATAAAAACACAAGCCAAGTCTTCAATTATTTTATTATCTCTCACCTATGTATGTACACAATTAATACTCAAAATATGTGTTGAATCACATCTTTTTAAAGCACTCTTGTAAATTTTTAAAAGCTCAAAAGCATGTTCTTGAAAATTACTATAAAACTGAATCTAAAGAAAATTAGGTGATAGATGTTATCTTCAATACTTCAAAAATCTGGGGTTTTATCAGTGTGGATGACTATCTCTACATACTCTCATCACAAGTCCTCTGAAACCTACAGACAGTCTTAAAAAACTATGGTCCCCTAAGTTGAAAACTCACTGGCCAATCTCTTATGATAAGCCTCTCTAAACTTAATTACAGTAGCCTCAATTTAATAGGCATACAGTCTATCATTCAGAGCCTTTCCAGTTTAATAGGACTTGCCAGAGCTTACATTCCAATAATATAGCCTTCAAGAACATAGGGTGCCCTCATGATAAGGCATCAAAAAGGAGGCCTTCGGGTTACAAATAACTAAGAACTGTAATTTAAAAAAAATAATAATGCAAATCCTATGTTGACAATGTATGATTATTTATGTTCCTCCTGATCAGATGGCCCACTGGTTTTCCAGCCAGTATTGGGAAAATGCTGTAAGTTGATTATAATGTAGAATGACAACAGACTTACTTTTAATCTGTACTAGTAAGGTTAAAGGGAAGTAAAAATGTTTACAAAACATGCAGCTAGATTATTACACATTAGAAGGAAGCAAGCCAAGGGGCAGATTTTGAAAGATAGAGTTCAAATTGGTAAAGCAAGGTATATTCTAACACAACTATTTCACAGATGAGAAAATTTGTCAATACAGGAGATACTGAAAGTGGCACTTCGGAGCTTTGTATTTGACAGCATTTAGAAGTTGTTCATACAAAAAGCCAAAACATCCAAATATATTTTTAATGATAGAAAATAAATAAAAATAACATGGAATGTGCTGTTGGAGACAGCTCAAACTGGTTCTGAAGTCCATTGTTAAATTTTCGATGTCAGCATGTATAGCTCAGAAACAGTAAAACACTACAAATCAGGGTTTGATTTATTTGTTGTCTAGACTTAAGTGGTGGAGAAAATGTTAATAATGGAAATTAAACTCAAAATGTGTCACACACATTTTTCCCCCCAGAGTGGGCCATTAAGCATTTATCAGCACACTCCTGATAATAATATCTAGCAATTATGTAGTACTTTTAGATTTGCAAACCACTTTACATATGTATCTCATTGGTTCCACATAACAATTGTTGGAGGCAGGTGCTATTACTATTTCAGATTTTACTGATGAGGAACTGAGGCACAGAACTAGTAAGTGTCTGTAGCTGGTTTTCAACTCAGGTCCTGTTGACTCCAAGTATAGTTCTCTAACAACTCTGTCATCTGACTTCCTCACCATAAAAAACATTTAGTAGGATATGAGCTAAATCAAGTATAAAGACAAATGGATACAAATTAGAACATAAGCACAAAAGCACAGTATAAAGGGGTATGAGATTAGATAAAACATTATAGGTAAAGAGATGACACCATATAAAATACTAGATAGCAATAAATTACAAAAGGGCTGACTATAAGACTAAAAGTATAAATAACAGGAACTTGTAGAATGAAGAATAAATAGGAATATTAGGAACTACCTAAAATATCTGAAGTATTTATAGGGTACAAACATAAAAGAGAAAGTGCAATAAAATACGATCATGTCAGGGCCTTCCGAAATTCTTTCCTCTTCCCAGAGTTCCCTATACCTTTTTTTTTTAACAAACATTAATTAATTAATATTTAATAAAGTACTACTGTTTTAAGAAAGTTTCATCTTACTGACTGGACACAACTAAATCATCCAAACTGGAAAACCATTTAAATGTGGGTAAATAGTTCTATTGCTCCCTTTCAAGATCACAAAAATGAAAATGCCAATATAATCACACATTTTCCCCCTCTAAAACAAAATTTTGTTTGACTGACACATAACTGGTCTTTAAAAAACAAAAACAAAACCAAAAAACTTTCACCTCCATAAAGCTTACAGTTCTTAAAAGCAGAATGGTGAATCTTAACTGGGACAACAAAATCAGTACACGTACCTTATAATTTCATACATTGCAGAGACATTTTGTAGTGAATAAAGCCATTTTCACATTATGTCATCTTGAGATAGATATGGCATACCTCATTTTACTGGTGAAGCAAACCCCTGAAGAAGTGACTTATCTAATTTGCCAACACTAGGTAGTAGTAAACTTAGAACCCTCATTGTCTGATTCAAGGTGAAGCATTCTTAAAACTTATCACTTAAGTGGACTAGAAGGTTGGTTTGAAAATCACCAATTCTCTTAAATGATATGCTGTGTTAAACAAAGTGCAAGACTTGTAATAACACAGGTTTTAATAAAGGAAAAACTTACCAGCAAAATTTACCTGATGAAACCCAGCAACAGCCATGATTCTATATGATGGTAATTATACCAATTTTTTTGAACCAGATCTGTGATGTCACTGGTAGATGGGACTTATGATGCATACACTCTTCTACCAATACAGAATGGTACTTGCTATGCAAAGTAGAGACTTGGGGAGTTGAACAAGGCACTGAGTTTAAATGACTTGGTGTATGTGAAAGGCAGGGTATAACCTTAGGTCTTCCTGACTCTAAGGTCAACTCTCCATCTACTCTGCTGTGGTATCTCTCATTATAGCTACAAGTTGGAGCTCTCTTTGTATAATAAGGTTTTATCATTCAATATTAATTTTTTTTAAAGTTTACAAAAATTATATAGTGAACCCTAAGAGAGACAGTATAGCACAGTGAATCAAGAACAAGTCTTGGAGTCAGGATAGCTTGAGTTCAACTAAATTGCTCCAGGAAGCTCTTTAAGAAGCTAAGATTCAGAGCAGCTGCCAATCTGCATCAGTAGAGGATTCCCCTCACTGGGAGTGAATGAAGTCACAGGTCCAATTCAAAAATAAGACAGAATACAAACGTACCTCCTAAAAGCTGATAAGCTACTGAAATAGATCCTTCTATTCCTGTGTATTATATGAGACAATAATTGCTCTAGCTGCTCTTTCTTCCTTCTCAATAAAGACACCTGGATAGATCAATACAACTTAATAGTAGTCTCTGCGATTGAACCCCTTGGCTCTGGTGCTATCACAGTTCGTGCCTGTCAAATCTCAACTCTAGATTACTCCCACCTCCTGTCTCTTTCCCTCCTTCTCAGGTGATGCTGCACAGAACCTGGAGGAAATCAAAAAACTATGCTGACAGGGTACGCTATAAATCTATGCCAGCTGATCTCAGCCAAGTCCCTGCTATAGCACAGTAATCCTACTACCCTCAACTGATTTCCTGTTCCACTCGTGATAGTTGCTGTCCCAAATTCTTTTTCTTCTCAATACTCTCACTTTATCTATGGAAGACCTTTGCTTCATATTTCACTGAAAAATTGAGGCCGCTCTTTTCCCTTCCTCATCTCATATCTTCTGACATCATGTCCTACTAACTCGCTTTTCACTCCAATCTCCTTCTGCTTGGTAAGGTCAACTCCTCTACAGGTGGAATCAATATTCCATTCCTTTCCATCTTCTTCAGTAGATTAAATTGCCTCTATCAGCACCCTCATTGTCTCTAAAATCTTCAATCTTTCCCAGTTTCTCAGCTCCTAAATCTGTTGCCTACAAACATGCCCAATTCTTCACCATCTTTTAAAAACACAAAACAAAACCAAAAACTTTCACTGGATTCTCAGCTACTGACCTACATCTTTTCTCCCCATCTCAGCTAAACTTCCTGAGAAAGCCTTCTACACTAGAGCCTTTCCTTTCTTCTCACTTGCTTCCAAAAACCCTCTGCAATATGGCTTCCTACCTCATCACTCAACTGACATGGCTCTCTGTAAAGTTACCAATGATCTCTTCTCTGCGGCATACTTATGGCCCCCTTCTATGTACTCTCTCCTCTTTGGATTTTTGTGGCTCTGTTCTGCCTTGGCCCTTCCACTTGTCTGACTAACAAGTAGGATCTTTGCTGGATCTTTATCCATGTCATGCTCATTAACTTTTAGTACCCCTCAAAGTTCTTGTCTTGGCCTTTCTTTTCTTTCTATATTCTCTCACCTGATGACTTAACTCTCAATAACATTAACTGTCATGGGCTCCATTATCATGTTTAGGCAGATGACTTCCAGATCTGTATCTTAAGACCTATATGTCCTGAACTCTAGCCCTGCTTTAGGAAATGCCTGTTGGACATTTGAACTCAAATTTCCTATACTAAACTCAACATGTCTAAGACAGAACTTACCATCTTTCTTTTCAAACTCTCCCACCTTCTGAAATTCCCTATTATTGTCCAGAAGACCATAAGCCTCATAGTTACCCAAGTTCAAAATGTCAGTGACATCCCTGACTCTTCTCTCTTGTTTACCATACATATCCAATCAGTTGTCAAGTTCCATCATTTCTTTCTTTAGTACATCTCTCATAGATGTATGCTCTCTACTCACATAACTACTAGTTAGTGCAGATTTTCTTGACTGACTATAGCAGCAGCCTTCTAATTGGTATTCTTGCCTCAGTCCACCCTCCACTAATCAATCTATGTCATCCCCCTACTCAATAAACTCTTGGCTCTTTATTATTTCCAAGACCAATCATAAGTTTCTTTTGTTTGTAAGTTAGAGCCCTTTATAATTTGGCCCCTTCCTACCTTTCCAATCTTTTTTACATTCTACTCCTTTCCATCCTCTAGCCAGATTAGCCCACATCTGATCCTCACACAAATACTTCATTCCTCACACAAATACTTCATTTCCTGGCTCCATGCCTTTGCAATGGCTGTTCCTAATGCCCAAAATGTTCTTTATCCCAACATCCGCTCTTAGGATACTGGGCTCCACTCCCTCACTACCTGCTTTAGGAGGCCTTTCCTGGTCACCCTAGCTGCTAGGATCATTTTCACTAAAGTTACTTTCCCTTTATTATATATTTATCTTGTACAGCTGATTTATATATATTGTTTCCCCCCATCAGAATGTAAGCTCCTTGAGGGAAGAGACTTTCTAAAATGTATTTTCTTTTTATTCCCAGCACTTACTATAGTGCCTCACACACAGTACTCATTTAATAATGTTTGTTGATTGAGTGTATATTCATATATTCAACATATACATTTGAATATGATTAAACAATTAAGCAATCTTCTCCACCCCCTAACACTCTTGGAAAAAAAAAATCCTTAACGCCAGGGAGTTTGGGCAAAACTGAGATGGGGGAAAAAAGTGAAATCTTTGATCACAAGTATGAGATGATATACCATTATGAATTCACAGTTAAAGAATTGAGGATATGAACAGAGAGGTCGGCATGAATAGCAATGTAGTCAATAAGCCAAAAGATAAAGAGAAAGACAATTTATATACATGCAAGATGATCTAATTTACCTTACCTGTTCACAGTAAAAGGCTGTCTAGAGGGTTGCTGCTTTGGCATACATATTATGCTTGGCGAGCTTCTGTTAGGGCTACCTAACCCTGAACTGCTCATGCTATTTGTCCTGCTGGCAATTCCAATGCCCTGACCAACCTGGGAGTGGTTGATCATATTCCTAGGATTCATAGGTAATATACCCCTGAAAAAGAAATTGTTTATAAAAGACAGAGTCTTGAAAATCCCTCATTAAATTTCTAAACAAAAATTTGTGTCATAATCTAGATCCCCAGTGTATTTTTCTAAACAACATTTTTCATATTTACTAAACTCTTCATATTCTTTCTCTAGATTCTGATGGAAGAACAGGCAAATCACATTAGGAATTAATGGAAGAAGAAACATAAAATGCCAGAAATAATGGGACAGAATAATATGATATGAAATACCTGAGAACATGACCCTTCTAAAGTTAAAACATGTGTTCTTACTCTCTGTTAACAAATGGCAAACTACAAAAATACAAAGTGCTCTTAGATCCAATTACTCCAGCCTTGTTCAACTTTTTTGGGGGAAGGTACAAATTGAGGAAATGGGAATGAGGGGAAGATATTTGTTAGAATGACTAATGTGTCAAAACAAAATTAAGCAATAAATCTTGTAGCATTATTTTAAAAAATAATACATTCACTCTAATTTCTTAACACTGTGCACACTATTCATTCTTTTTGACCTGAAATCTATAAGGGAGGATATATTTTGCCAATGTTTCACCCTACTACAATATAAATATTTAAATTAAGTGAAAGTATGAGGATAGTGCATCAATTCCCTGCCTCAATGAAAAACACTGAACCAGAAAAAAAAAGTTTCCTTTTTTTTTTAAAATAAAAACAAAGTTATTTACATTACATATCTACAGGTCTGCAGGTATATTAATAGATTATCTTTTTCATAACATAAGATAATAAACACAGATCTAGTGATACCACTATATTTAGACTTATACAGAGACAGATTTTAAAGAAATATTTGAGATCACTAGTAAATACCTGCTTGGAGATGGAGGCGTGTGAAGTGACATTGTTGGTACCCCTGTTGTTGGCGTGACGTGGCTTGGTAACTGAGTGCCTTGTGATAAGCTGCGATTTAACTGAGGGGTATTGTTGCTCATTCCCCTCATTGGAAGGCCTAGTGTACCTATACAGGAGGGAAACATAACCAATTCTGAAAAATCCTAGAACAGAGCATTAAGAAATTGCAAAATTATAGCTTTCTAATGACATAAGTTTAACTTCTCTGAATGACATCTTAAAAGAAATTTTCTACATCAAGATATTCTCTAATCTATAAGATTTTAAACATGGAGATTAGTTACATACATTTTTTATTTTACAACACTCAATTAAGAAGATTAATGTGTCCATGGTTTGGCAATAGACTTATGTGCTTTATTAAAATCCATGGACCAATATTTTGACTTGTTTTATTAAGATTAATGTACAATGTTATACTTTAGAATCCGTTTCTCTCTATTAAGCTCTTTATCTGCCAAGTTAAAGCATCAGTTACTTTGTAAAGAAGTTGATATTATAAATTTTTATATTATATTAAGATATATTACATTTTAATTTTACTTACTTTTACTGGCGTGAGATATGATAAGGTTTAGAGAAAATATTTCCATTTAGAGAATATATTCATAAATAAGAAATCATGCTAGCAAAGGTTAATCAAAAAAGTCTATTCCAAATCTATCATTGTGACTTGTCTACTAAATTTTTTTAAAGGATTTCCATTCATTTCAGACATTTGATACTAGATTAATGTAATATCAGGGAATGAGGTGTTTTAAATTAGCAAATTTCCCAGAAAAGTCTAACATTCATGAACTAAAACACAGTAAGTTGAGCAGTCTTTAATGGTAATTGTCCTAAAGCAGGAGATATAGAAAAATATTTAACCTCTTTTCTTCATAGCTCAGAGAGGCCACCATGCAGCTTTCCTCCATAAAATTAGGCCTTCCAATTTTGAACTATAGAGCTAGAAGAGACCTGAAAGCTAACAGAGTTCAGACACTTCATTGTACAGAAGAAGAAACTACTTCCATGCCTGCTCTTGATGGCACCTTCTCATACAGACCTTTTAATTTGTAGCTTCTAATCTGCTATGAATGGGCATGCAAAGCAGGTCACAAGAATTTAGAGCTGGAAAGGATTTTGGAGATCATCTAATTTTATAAATTATGAGCCCAGAAAACTAAAGTGGGTTGAACAGCATGTGAAAGCCAGAATCCAAACCTAGGTCTCCTAAGATCAAACACTTACTCTTTCTACTATACCCTAAAAATCATGCTATGTTAATTATACCCATGTCTGACTACCGTCTCTGAATTCATAGACAGAAGATTTGTATTATGAACATCAAAAATGCCCTTTTCTATACAGTCTAAATTTATAAATACTTCCAGTACTTAAAAGATCTGTAAATTCATCTGTGATTTCATACATACATACGTGTTGGGGTATGTTCTAGATGGTTCAGGAAATTTGTGCAAAAGGGTGAAGGGAAATAGCATGAATAAAGGAAATTGGCAGATAATCTCCAGTTCTCTCATCTTAACTTTAATAATCACCTTTCTCCTTTCTAAACCAAGCAACATTTCACTGATTCAAGAATCACTAGCCTTTTTTTTTTCAGTGCTGTGAAAAGGTGGCAAGAATTATATGTGAATTAAGAGTCAACACTGCCCTAAATGAGGAATTAATGAATTAAGTACACCACATTAATGCTGTTGTGCACTTTGACCCATATTTTCTTGGTTCTCTTTGAGAGTTACCAGAAGAGTGCTCTCCAGACACCATGAATGTAAAGGTGAGTTAATTTTTCATTCCATGGCATGATGAAGTGCTTTTTCTTAATTCCTGCATCACAACAAACTTTTGCAATACAAACAATGCTGATTTGTTATATCGGAAGCTGGTAAGCTTAAAATTCAGGCTGCAAAACTCCTTGATTTCTATGAACTCAATAACCATAGTTGTCATAATGTATACATGGTGCTTACCAGGCTTTAATTTAGAAATAAAAAACCATGGGGAAGCTGACCCTGTGTTATATACCACCTCTGGGGAGTGCACAATGTCCTGCAGAGCCTGGGGCCATAAGACTATCAGTGAGGCAACTCAAAATTACTCTCTCTTAATCTGCGACACAGCAGAGAAAACTGGATTGGAAAGGAAAAACCCAAATTAGCAACATAAGAAGCGTATCCTTCTCCAAGATTATATTCCTTTCTACTCCAACATAACCTTTCCCTAGGTCACCTCAATTCCTTTATAGTAAAAGGTTCTTAAATTTCTGTGTATGCAGTGATATACCCTTTTGGCAATCTGGCAAAGCCGAGGGACCCCTCCTCATAATAATGTCTACTGTCTACATTAATAACTGAAGGAAATGCTAAATTATAATTAGAAGTTACTGAAAATGAAGATGTGATTTTTTTTTCCAGTCTAAGTTCGTAACCTCTCACCCTTTACCTCTGCCTGTCTCCCCTGAAATCTATACATGGACACTGTAGACTCTAGATTAAGAACCCCTGCTGTATACACCATTCTATACTAAAAATGTAGTTTTAGTTGTAGGTGTCCCAATGAGATTTATTTCTTATCCTCCCTTGCCTGGAAGTGGAATCACAGAATATTACAGGCCAAAGGTACCTAAAAGAAAGATCATCTAGTTCAGCTTTCATTTTATAGATGAAGTAACTGACACAGGTTTAGGGACTTGTCACAATTAGAGGCAGAACAAAAATTAAAACCAAAGTTTCTTGACTTAAAATTTAGTGCTCTTTCCACTACACCACAGATAACACAAAATACAGAGTGGTGTGGATGCAAAACTATGACCCCATTTCTCTTTTAAAGCCCAATTCAAATACTACCACTCCTCTCCAAAATAATACTTCTCCCTGAAGCCTTCCCTAATCCCTAGAATAAATAACAATTTCCTAAGTCAGCAAAGAGCGATCTGCTGACACCTTTCTCTAGGTCATAAAGTTTAACTTATATTTTTTCTGTTCTTTCCCTTGTCCCCATGCTCATTTTTCCTCCTTTTCGTCTTCTTATTTGTTTCCCTGCTCTCTCACCTGTTTTATTATTCTCCTTTCTCTTCTTCCTTTCTCCATCTTTTTCACTGTAGCCAAATCTATGCCTTTAAAAGGCCTGCTATATCTACCCTCCCTACTTCTACAATATTAACCTACAGTTGCTTAATTATTTTCATTTTGACCATTCTCGCAAATACATTTCATGGTTTACTATAAAAAATAACATCAGAAAAATTAAGAACTTGAGAAATCTCAAACCAAGAATTTCTCAAGCAAGTCTTTTAAGAAAGGAAGATCTAAACACGACAAAACATTTAGTCAACTATAAGTTGGCACACTTTCTTCAGTTTATTATTTGTCAAAGAAGATGGTGTGAATAAAGGAAACGTACAGATAATCTGAAATATTCTTATTTTAACATTCCATATTCTCCGTATTCCCTCCACAGAACAATTAACATTTAAATGATGTCAGCTTCAGTCTTGGGAAGAGGCTAACTAGTTTGAGAGAAAGAAAAATGTCAGAAAATCTGAAACAGGAAAATAGGAGTGGGATAATTCCAGATAAAATAATCAGCCTTCAGATATTTAATAATGTACCAATTAATCTCAAAGCTCTACATGAGATCTGTTATTAGGAAACAAATTGTTTTTACTCATTTACTGAACTCTTCTAGCTGATCCATCTCATACAACTACAACCGCTGTTCTGGACCTCTCACCTTGCTTCCTGGCATCCTTGCCTCAATTCTCACAATACCAGGCCATCCTAAACACTGTAACAAAGTAATTTTCTTAAAGGCAGATCTGATCTTGTCACTCCACAGCTAAATCAACTCCAGTGGCTACCTGAGAAATGTCTCTTAGATGAAATACAAATTCCTCTTCAGCTTGTAATGCTCCCCTAAACATGGCCCCAACCAATTTTTACCCCTTTCACTACCCATCACTCCCCTTTTCACACTGTGATACAGGCAAGCTGGCCTTCTTTCTGTTCCTCACATAGAACTCTATCTTCCACTTTGCAAGGGTCTTTCTTCACAGTAGGAATTCACTCATAGGAGGGAATCCCTCCCACCTCATAAGAGTACCTCTTCTCCTTCAAGCCACAGCTCAAGAACCATCTTCTGCATGAAATCTTTTTCCTGATGTCCCCAACTGTAATTTATCCTGCTGTGCCTGACACACAGTAGGTGCTTAATAAATCCTTTCTTGTTACTTTGTATTTAACTATTTCTCTGTTATTCTATACTGACCTATTATTGTCTTCCTTCATTAGAATGTAAGCTCCCTGCAAGTAGGGATTTTACTTTTTAAAATTTGTATCCCTAGTGCTTACCACAGTTCCTGACACATAGTAGGCATGTAAGAAATGCTTATTGATTGACTTATTAAACTTCGGTTTCAAATAAATACTAAGTCAAATGGTTTTATTTACTTAATGAGAAAAGATCATTGCAAACCTTTTATTTTCTAGTATATTCATACCAAACAATAGTCAAATAAACAAAGTCAGCACATAATGTCTTGGAGTATGATGACTAAACAGGTAAAAATAGAAGTATTTTGCCACTGGAAAACTACTATAATAAAAATCAATTCAACAATCATTTATTATGTAACTACTATGAATGCAGCCAAAATGGAGGTTACAGTATAATTTCTATATTATTAGAAGGATATGAGATGAAAACTATAACGCACAAAAGTATATAATCAGAAAGATATAGAATCTGATGGCTCTTCTGCAATATCAGTCCTTCTTGATTTTGGGGGGGCAACTGATGCTACTGAACACCCTTGCCTTCTAGATACTCTCTCCTATCTGGGTTTTCATGATGGCAGCTTTCTTGGTTATCCTCCCACCTGTCTTTCAAAGCTTCTCTCTCTCTGTCTCACCTTATTAGCAAACTATCAGTCTGGTTAACATCTTGTTGTAGATGACTCCTAAATATTATAAAAGAGTATAAGGAATATCTGCCGCTGTCAGTCAGCATCAGCTGAGAGCTAAAGAAATTATAGAGTTCCTCTCCCTAAATCATGTAGCTATGTAGTTAGGGGGAATCTTATCTTTTTTTTTTTTTTTTTTTTTT